GGCAGATTTATTTTAATATTTGAATTTTTTTGTACTAGAGGGCCAAAGCATATTATAACAACTCAAGGAATATAGAAGTGGCCAAAGTAACATTACAGTCTCTCTCCTTGAATTGTGGCATGATCCTGCCCCCATGTAATCATGATTTACTTTGGGCATTCTTTTGCTCTGCTTACCATCAAATGCACTTGTATAATTGATTTTCTCTTGTTATTGTTATTGCTTTCATTTCTAAAATTAGAAATTAAAATATTTTGTAATTTTTTTTTTAGTTATCTCAACATGGACATCTTTCCAAGTCAGTACATGTATTACCAGTCTCATTCTTTTTAATTCTGTATAGTATAATGTACTATTTATTCAATTCAACATTTCTTGATGGATGGCCATTTAAACTGTTTGGACACATTTACATTTGCTATAAGCCTGATAAAAATAGACTACTTTGTACTAGTGCATTTCCTTTGGTTTGAGTAAGATAGTTAAAAGGCCTTTTAAATTTTAATAGGATATTGCCAGATAACTTCCCAAAAGACTTTTTAGCAATTTACTTCCTATGAAAAACTGTTTAGATATACCCTTTTCCTACATCTTTGCCAACATTGTATTTTCTGAGTCTTTCTGTAATATATTTGACCATTTGAGAGTTGAAAATTATATCTGGTTGTTTTAATTTGGATTCTGTGACTATAGCGTTAGATAAAGAAAGGAAATACAGCTACCCAAATGTGAAATGTTTATAATATTGAAGGATTAACTTTGTAAATATAGGGAAGTGATGATTTTCTAGAAAATTATAAATTTTCAATATTGACATCAGAATAGATGAAAATACCAAATGTGAAAAGTTTTAAAATTTTATCTAATGATGTAAGTCATTTAATCTCTGTTTAAATAAGAACCTAAGGTGTGTGATTTTTTTTTTTTTTTTAAACACAATCAGGTAGAAAAGAGAGACATGCCAAATGAACAAAGACTTCTTATAGGCCTGTTTACCATGTGGGAATTCAAAGATATCAGTATAAGTGTTATCTAAAGCAAACATTGTTAGGTAAGACATCCAATCAGAGCTATTTACATTTTACTTTTAAATTTTTGCATAGAAGAACTGAGGGTGTAGGCCAGAGGTGAGGAGGATAGTAAGGGGTGAGAGGATTCACCAGAGACAGAAAAGGGAGCAGAACAGGTAGATTTACAGAACAGGTAGATTTGCTGAGGGAGCAGTGGCAGAACAGGAGAGGTCTGCTGCACCATATGTGGGTCAGCTCACTGCCCAGGGATCGAACTCAGGCCTTAATGGTGATAGCACTGAGTCTTTATCCCTAGGCCACCAGGTAGGCACCAGACCTATTTATGCTTTAAAGTTAAACATTGATTTCACAGGGTATAATTACCCCTTCTGCATTCAAGGGGTAATCTTACAAGATTTCTGTAGTGGAAATTATGTTTTTAAGGTCTATTTTATGATACAGAATAGAACCTGCTTTTTTGCAGTGATAGGGAAAGAGGGAGCATTATCTTTCTCTTTATTATCCTGCTCAGATTTCCATCAAAAACAAGAAGGGCTGCCAGTGTGAAGGGTAAATGCAAGAATTCTGTTATTATCAAAAGAAAAAGTGTAAAAATATGCAAAACAAAAAGCAAGAACCCAGACAACAAGATTGTAGCAATGTGATATTTTATATCTACAAGATTGATCATAGGCTTTTGTAGTGCTTGAATTATTCTTGGATTCCTAGATCGAACCCTATTTAGCTACCAGGTCCTCTAATATATTACTATATTTACTACTTTCTTACTATAACTGAAAGTAATTTCAAGCATTCCAAATTATCTTAAAGTAGATTACAGCATTCACCTTACACATTTATGAAAATGAAGGAAGCTTTTCATCTTTTTCTATACTCTGGTCTATTGAAGTAACAAGGTAGGTATCCCTGGAAATTTTTGAATTCATATGTAAAATTTGGAATGCTCAAAATTACTTTCAGTTTTAGTAAGAAAGTAGTAAGTATAGCAATATTTAGAGGACCTGAGTAACTAAACAGGGTTTGATCTAGGAATCCAAGAATAATTCAGGTACTACAAAAGCTTAGTTAATGTTTTTTTTTTTAATCGTAGTTTATTTTTACATCATTGTGTGCTTTTTTCCATCTCAGTTTGTAATCCCCGTGGGCTTCCCATCACCGACTCACCCCTGTGCCATCACCATAGTCCAGTGCACTTCCCTCCCCCCCCACCCCCTGTTTTTCATCTCATTCCCCACTCCACCCCCACAAAATGTCAAATGTCTCTGGTATATAATTGATCATTATTGTTATTATTTTCTTGCCTGGTCCTTTATGCTCCTGCTGTGAGTGAACCATCCGGTATTTTTCCTTTTCTTTCTGGCTTATTTCACTAAGCATGATCCCTTCCAGCTCCATCCATGTTGCTGCAAAAGGCATGTGTTTATCTTTTTTGATTGCTGAGTAATATTCCATTGTATATATGTACCACATCTTTTTAATTCAGTCATCTACTTTTGGGTATTTGTAAATAAAGCAGCAGTAAACATGGGGGTGCAGGTGTCTTTTTGAATTAATGTTTTTGTGTCTTTTGGGCAGATACCTAGGAGTGGGGCTGCTGGGTCATATGGGAGCTTCATTTTTAACAGTTTGAGAAACCTCCAAACACTTTTCCATAATGGTTGTACTCGTTTAAAGCTTAGTTAATGTTTTAAGAAATTGAGAATAAATACAGTCATGATAATTGATGCTTAAAAAGTTCAGTTTGCCATTCTTCATATTTTTAAAAATTAAGATGGAGGCAATCTCCCAAATATTTTGAATATTATGTCCTAGAAATTAACAGTTAACATTAATTTCCCTGAAATTGAATACAGAGAAATGTTTTCTACAACTGCTAATTTGTGAGGAGGCGGGGGAATCATATAGATGCTACAGTAAGACAAGAGAAAAGATCATTATTTGCAGTTGATGAGATATTTATAGCTAGGAAAAAAGAGATTAAAATAGATTTATTGTTACTAAAAAGCAAATTTCAGTAAGTTTCTGATATATAATACACAAGAGACCCAATAGCTTCCTTCAAACTGGTGTTAAAGGACTAGAAATAGTAATAGAAAGGAAATTCCTTTCAGAGAACTTAATAAAACCACTAGTCAGAGAAGTAAAAAAAAAATGTAACAAGACAATAGAAGTCATATGACAACTATTGAACATTTTGAAATGACCTAAATGAAAGGAGAAACTTGCTAGCTACATGGCAGTAAGACCTAAATTCTTCTAAATTGAAGTACAGAGAGCAAGTACTATAATTTTGATCATAATTCTATTCCCTCCTGCAAGGCAATAGAATCGACCTGGCTGTGTAAGATAGAGAGAAACAGACATGATCAAGCCAAAGTTTTATACAGAATTCAGCACCTTAGCGTCAGTATTGACATTTTTACCCTCTAGGTTTCTACAACTTTGTTGCTTCAGTAGAATCATTTTAACCTCCTCCTATAGTGACTGGTTATGGGGTTTGGCAGAGCTGTGTTTTCCCATCCTGTAGTTGTTGACAAGGAAAATGTGAAGAATATTATAGAAGTTAGTCAGGGCCGTGCAGGAGGCCCAGGAGTCAAGGCTGACTTGACCTACCAGTGACTTTCAACTTGTTTTTGGATTTTGGAAAAAACCCTACTCTGATCTGTGAGATATGGACTTACAACTAAATCAATAATGGTAGTGACAAGTTTTCTTCCCTCTAAACTCCCACATTCAAGGACATAATTTGCCTGGAGGTCAATGAGAGAAGTGTACCTTTCCTCCTCAAGGGGAAGGGGGCAGTGTCAGACTATGGGCAACAGTGTTTCCTTGGGCCATTGTCATGTGGAATTACCATCATTCATCAACTTAGTTATACTTTCTGCTGCCTCCTCAGCTGAATTTGGGCAGGAGTGATACATTAAAAGTAAAGAGGAACAGGGATTGATGGCCTCCTGTGAAATCGTGTAAAGATGTCTCCCAGTACAGAATCTTGTCTCAAAGTACCTAAAAACGTCAGGAAACATATTATTGTATATGTGTGTGTGTGTTTTTTCCTTTGGTTAACACAGTCTCTGAAAGTAAATATTCCATACAATTTTGACAAAATACTGCAGCAGGGAATAATTTTAAAATAGAATGTAAAATGAGAAAGATTTCAGGTGCATTATATTGCATGGATTGACTCATGGGAAGTAGACTAGTACAGTTATGTTCTTAAATTCTTTAAAAATTAGAAAAATTCAAAGTAAGTTTACTTTGTGATATTTCTAAGTGTGTATGTGTATGTGTCTCTCCCATAAGACTTAGGAGTTGGCTAATGAGAATGCCAGCAATAAAGTTAGGGTTGACAAATAAAGTACATGACATACTTACATGGTATGTAAGAGATAAGTCATAATTTATCTGAAATTCTCACATAATTGGGCATTGCAGTCTGGCAATTCTAAAAAACAGTAGAAATATGAATAAAATAATGAAGAAAAAGTAAAATGAAGGTAGCATGAAGTCTCAGGATTGCTGAAGTGGGGAATGGTTTTGGCCTGGAGAGTCCTGTTTTCCAGACAAAAGTGGAAATTAAATCATTTACAAATTATACTCTGTGTATAAAGGAGGGAGAAGACAGTTCATTGGAGCAAGAAAGATTTTCTAGTTTGAGTTTTTGAAAGGATACTTACTCGTTACAGCTCTCTTTCAGTGAGCATTTCACTGGACACTGACTTTCAGAGAGATCTGCATATGAAGTGTGTGGCCCCTGTGCTTGTTACAGGTCTTTCTTTGCTATCTTCAGTAATGAGTTTCATGCTGTCAGCTTTTCCTGAGTTCTGTATGCATTTTGAAAATAATCACTAAAAATTCAATTAGTGCAATTTTGTATGCCAGTTATTAAGCCAAATTTTATGGTAGTTCTTGAAAGATAGCAACACCATCTCCCATGGAGCTTAAGTAGCCCTGTCTATTAATTTTCAGCTTCCTCACGAGGATCCAGAGATTTTTGAAGTTTCATCCAAGTGTCTGTCTATACTGGTTCAGCTATATGGAGGGGAAAACGCAGACAGCCTGTCACCCGAAAATGCAGAGAACTTTGCTGATTTATTGATATCCAAGGAAGACCCCAAGGTGCAGAAGCTTCTGTTGCGGATCCTCAGAAGAATGGTAAGTCCACATAGAAACTGGGTGCAGCTCTGGGGACTCTGTGGTAGCCAGTGACAGGGAGTAGCTAGTTTTCTTCCATTTGGTCAAGAATCCCGTTACCCTTCCCCACTGTCACCCATTGTTAGCAGTTGTCATATTCCACCTAACTGTCTTCATGTACACACGTATTTTTTGCTGACTAATGGAGAGTAATTAGAGACACTGAGCCCTGTCATTGCTTTATCTGTTAAGTGTTTATTTCCTAACAAAATGGATGTTCTCTTAACTACCATAATCAAAATCAGGACATTTACCATTGATACAATTCTTTCACTAATAAGCCATTCTTGCCATTTTCTGTCAACTATCCCAATAATGTCCTTTGTATATTTTATCTTATGGGGTGGGGGGAGACAAAAGGGAGTGTGTGGGGTCCAGCATCAAATATTTTAACAGACATGTGCCTTTAATTTGCAATTTTCTCACAGCCTCTCTTGCCTTTCATAATATTTTTGAAGACTGTAAGCTGGATATTTTATAAAATTTCCCTCAATCTGATGCTTTCTGATGGTTAGATTCAGGGAAACTTCAGAAAAATTGTCTTTCTCAATCCATTATGCTCTTGACTCTGTCTGTCCCCCTACTTGATCAAATCAGTAATTATTATTTTAAATTTTGAAATGGTCGGAAGATGACCATTTTCCTACTTCCATTATTCTACCATAAGATAAAACTTTTCCTTTTGTTGCATTTATTTTTAAAAAATATATGTAGCTGATGTTTATTGGAAAGCATTTTTTTATATAAATCTCATTGTGCTGATTTTGAAGGCTATTTACAATGGCTATTGTTGGAGTTAGTAAAGGAGAAGGTCCCATTAGTCTGTGTCCAGTACTGCTTGTCAATCTGTGTCCATTCTAGATTGAATTATCTTGAGGGGGTTCCTGTTGCATGTGAATGTGTCAGAGAGTTAACTAACTCAAGCCAAGTTTGAGACGTGGACAGCTGTAGTGTGTGACAAGGCAGGTGATGGGTAATGGAGCTAAAAGGGAATAATGAGGGTTACCCTCTCACTCTCTGTTATGACTCAGTGCAGTCAGGTCTCCTCCACACACAGCAAGACTTACTCTCCCAGCGGAGTCGTCGCCTGAATGACAGGATGATGACACGGTCTCGGCGAGTCTCCCAAAGTGTTGATGACATACTCTGGGCTTGCCAACTCAGCACTAGACGACATAGACTCATATAACCGGGCAAGCCTTGCCTTTTACCTTTCTTTTGATCTTCTTGATGATTTAAGGTGAAAATCTCAGTTTGATACACAGTATCTTAAACAACTTTTGAATCTCAGTTTCTCCCTTTTTTTAACAGTGAGTACCTCCCAGAAGCTCAGCTTTTATTGTAGAAATTAAAAAATGACTTTATTCAAATGTGAATTTGAAGGAACTATATAATATGAATGATATGCAGATATGGCAAAATTGTGACTTTGGTAGGGACTAACAAAAACTTTGGAAATAGTGACCTAATAAATGATTGCTTTTGTTGAGAACCACCATTTCTTCTTTGAAATGCTTAGAACCAGGTTTGTTTTGGAATTCACAATTTCTCATAGTGTTTATTACTGTGTATGATATGGAAAATAACATTCCTCCAAGAAACCATGAAAATTTATGTGAAGTATTTAAAAAGTCCTTTGTATTTAAAGTATTTAAAATTGTCCTTTGTTGAAATTGGAAGGTCTGTTTGCTTAACAAGAAAAATTGACTGAATGGTCCAAAGAGAAAACCACACTGTTTCCTCCTGTCTTGTCAATGATATCCCTGCAAGTCACTAACATCTTGATGTCTCTAATTTAACTGCTCCAAAGTGCCCATATTTGCAGGCCAGCCATTGTGACAATTGCTTTAAAATCATCTGAAAGCTCTCTAAATTACCTTGTGTCACTCACTGGTGGGTTCCAGTTGTGCAAAACATACACCTGGTGACTGTGGGGCCAAGTCAAGTCAACTGAACCCTCAAACTTGTCTATTCTGAAGCTCAGCCCTGTGTAACCTTAGCACTGATCTCAGCATTTGGAAGGAAGGAGCTGCACATTACTAAAGGTCCAGAGCCCTCCTCTTCTTTGTCCCATTTCGCTCTGTCCTTATCTCTGGGGCAGTCCTTGCTTTATAGCTGTTGACTTACTTTCTGTTCTCAGCTTTACGCTACACTTGTTTGGCATAGTGCTGTAGTCTTGTTCATTGTCTTTTCAGCATGTTATGGTATGTCATCCTTAGAAGATGGTCAGCAGATGTTTATCACTGTGTGCTAAATTCCCCTGTTAGAATTTTGGTGTTTTCTCTTATTTAATCTCCATAGCAACTTAGAGGGTAGTTCCAGTGATCATTCCCATCTTACAGTTTAAAAAACTAAGGTCATAGACATGAACATTCCCAAGAGCACCAATTAAGAAATGATAGAGCCATATCAGCCCACCTTGGGTTGGTTGCTTCTAGCTCAGTCTTTCGAGGTAGCTGACTGCCATGCTTCTTCCCTGCAGTATTAATGTGGATGGCACACACACTCATCCAGCTGAAATGGGGTGAATTTTTATCTAGAAGGTGCCTGAGAAGTTCATTCTTTTCTTAGGGGAGAAATGAGTAATTGATTGGGGATACTGAAATAGGAAGATGTGACCAGTTTCTCAATGGTCTCTAATTGGAGAGATGGAGAAGCACCCAGTGTCACCACAAAGAATGATGCAGCCAGTGTTACAGTGCCGGAGCCTGCAAGGTCCACAGGAACAGTCTGTCTAGCGAGGCAGCTGACGTGGGCATGGTATTTGAGCTGAGGGTAGAAGGATGTGTTTGTCACTCAACATGGAACTGGAAGAAACACATGCTGAGCAAAGGCCCTCAAATCCTTGGTCCTGTATTGGGAAACAGAAGAAATGGGCCAGAAAGGCCAAGGAGTTCCAAACTCTTTGGAATTAGGAAAATGTGGTCTCTGAGTCAGAAAAGTGGCAGTTGTATCTCAATTGAATTCCAATTACCTACTGTGAACTCAAGGTTTATCATGGTATCTGACATATATTAGGTATTTAATAAGTATCCTCTGAGCTGAGTAAGTCAGGTCTATAAAATTTATACCTTTGTACTGGCACTTACCCTTTTTGCTCTTTATGGTATATTGTGAGCTCATTTTGGTGCTTTAGAGAGTCATGGGTCAGACTGAGAACAACTTTAAAGGGCATTTAGTTAGTTTGAAGTCTGATGTCTGATTGTCTTCTACAGTATTCCTGCTAAGTTTCTGAGCAGTAGATGACACTGGATAGGCAGATGGAGAGAGGGTGGGACACCTGAGGCACAAGAATGGGCATGCAGAGTACTGCAGCAGTCAGGAGACTGTTAGTGAGCTCAACTCCCTGGGCTGTGGAAAACTCAGACTTTATAGAGGAACAGGGTCAATCTAGTTTATTACTCACTGGCAGTAATTGGATTCAGGAGATCTCACATGTACAACCTTCTTACTGTAAGATGTTAGGGAGGGGAGTCAAGCTCCTGAAAATTTACTTCACTGTCCATTCATGGATTGCATGCTTCCACCAGGAGCGCTTGGAACACTAAGAGGAAGCCTGTGCTGTTGGCATGTCTCTGCTTAAGCCCTGATGGAGGAGTACCCTCCTTTGCCCAAAGCTGGGCAGCCTGGATGGTTTCAGAGAAGAGTGATCCGACTGTTACAAAGCCAGGCAAGCAGCATGTCAGTGATTGGTAAACCGTGATCATTAGACTCATGGGGAGTAAGATGGCAGATCCCTCCAGTGAACCATGCAAAGGCCCTGGATATTCTTAAAATGTTTGTTCAAAGCTCCAATTTTGTGATAGTCATGTCCTAAAACCACAGTTTTCACTAACAGATTCAAGAAATAGGATGTTTAATTTGTGCTAATGGAATTAGGATATGTTTTGCCCCTAGGGTACTCTTCCTTATTTAGTCTCTATTTGGAGCATCCTGAGAATGCTAGGGAAATGCTAAGAATGCAATTATCTATTGTCATTTACTGAGCAGTTGGGTGGTTTTATAATTGTACTTTGTGCTCCCACTTTAAAAATGTGCTGGAAATCCTTCAAGTTGTCCCCAGGTTCACCTGCCCTTAAACTTGACATCAGTGGGAGTTTTCCCAGTATAGTGATTGTAGATTAGCTACTTGTCTCTTAATTAAAGCTAGCTTGCTCTGATTCTCAAGTATTAACTAAGCATAAACCACCATAAACTCATTCTGTAAAGTTGGCTCAAGCATGCACTGTTGACGTCTCTGCACGCAGAGACGTGATCCATGATTGTAGCACACTGCTGCGGCCCCTGCCTGCCTTCCTTGCGCAGTAGAGGTGGCAGGAGTGAGGGTTGGGATCATTCTCTGAAGATGATTAGTATTGAAGATTATTATGAACATCTATACCTTGGAGATCCTTTACAGAAAATCCTGCTTTGCTCACCACTTTTTTCCTTCCAATTCTCATGCAAGAGCCTTAAGAACAGAGGTGTTCTGTTGCTGAGAATTGGTGTAACAGTATTTCTTCATATACAGAGTCTTTAAAGCTTTAAACTAACCAACTGAGGAAGCTAAGAACCCCGTAGTGATTCTTTTCCTATTTTAGGACCAGCATGAATTGTAGGCTTAGGCTCAGAATGGATGTACTTTCTATTAGAAAAGTAAAGAAATATTCCTTGAGGTACAGCAAGAAAGTAAGTGATGCCTCTCTCTCCCCCTCTCTTCTTTTTCCTTTGATTAGACCTGTTTTATATTAGAGGGGGTGGGAGATTAACATGAAGTCAGTGACATTTTTAAGAGAAACAGCACAATGATAATAATAATGACATAATGTTTGATTGGGATTTGATCTCAAAATATAAAGCTCAGATTTATTAAAAGGAATTGATTTTGTCTTCACAGCATTATAAAGACATTCTCTTTAAGTTATATACTATTTTTGCTTTACTATGCAGAAAAAGTCTTCACCCAGGCATGAAGGAGTTCT